AATATGTGGTCTTTGTGTCTGGCTTCTTTCACTCGGTATAATTTTCTCAAGGGTTTAGTCGTATTTTATCATGTGTCAGTACTTCATGCCTTTTTATAACTAAACAATATTCCATTGTGTGGATATACCACATTGATCCATTTACCCATACCTCTGCTGATGGATATTTATTTAGGTCATTTTCACATTTCAGCTACTACAAATAGTGCTGTTGTGAAAATTCACAAACAAGTTCAAACTGTTCGAACACCTGTGCTCACTGAGTTGGGTACTACTAACAGTGAGGCTGCTGGCTGATTTCGTTGCTGTGGTTATATTTTGAGGAACTGGAAATAAGTGAATCTTAGCCATGTGTTAGTTTCTGGTGACTACCATAACAAAGAACCACAAAACGAACAGCTTAAGACAGACATGTATTCTACTCAGTTTTGAAGGCCCAAAGGTCAAATTCAGAGTCAGCAGGGTCACGCTCCCTCTAAGAATGTACAGTCCTTCCTCGTTTCTTCCGGCTTCTGTGGTGGCTGTGAGTCCTTGGTGCTGAGTGGCCTGTAGCTGCATCATGCCCATCTCTGCTTTTGTTGTCACATGCCCCTCTCCTGTGGCTCTTATTCTTTTTAGGATACCAGTCATATTGGGTTACGGGCTGGTTGGTAAGCACTCCAGTATGATTTCATTTGCTTTTAAATCAGTGTGTCCACAACAACTGTATTTGCAAACGAGATCACATTCTGAGCTACTGGAGCTAGGACTTTAACATATCTTTTGTGGGGACACAAGTCAACCTGTGATAGATGACAAACACTACTGGGCATCTAAATCCCCTGGGGGCCTGGGGGTGGGGGCTGAGGCTCTGCATTTTCAACAAGCTCTGCCAGACATGCCAAGACTGTTAGTATATATAGAGAAAGGATGACCGACTCGCCTTGGCTTAGCCAAGAGTGTCCCAGATTGACAAGTGAAAATCTAGAGCAGGTAAACCCTCAGTCCTGTGAAAACCGAGATGGTTTGTCACCTGATCATGTCAGAGAACACAATTTGAGTAGCAAGGACCTAGCTATGGACTGTGTTCATTTGTCCTTTAATAACTTTAATGAATATTCACATTTATCCTTAAACTTACATAATTATATTTTTGCTAGAACAGTCCAAGCTTGCAAGAATCTGGACCTAATATCTATCCCCTGAAAACTCCAGACAAACTGAAATGGTGAGTTAATCAAGCTGACATGGCCACCTGTGAATATCTTCCATTAACTCACAAAATTATCTATGATATTGAGTAGTGTCCCTGTTGGGGTGCAAATTGAAATATCTGGCACCTTTATGGAGTAATTATTCATGGCAACACCTTTTGAAGCTAAGGGTCCCTGCTGGGTTTGAAGTTCTCAGTAGCCTCTTGAGGCTGTTGTAACAGGAGGCCTCAACCTGGGGGAGACAGCTGATTGCCATACGGCAATGTCCTTTAACTTGTGATTCCTATTAGGATCACCTGAAGAACTTAAAAAACTGATGTGCCCTCACCCTCATGATGGCTACCTACCATCATAGTTTTTCCTCCCCCCTTTACTATTTTTTTTTGTCCTACAGCGATCATCCCCCCCCCCACTCCTTCTGAAATATGCATTTTGTGATGCATGAAGCATTTATATATGTTACTGACCAAATTACATGGAAGCCATTTGCTTTCAGAGACTGGTGAGGAAAGCACCGTCGTTGGTCAGCGCCAGGCAAGATGCTGTCCAAACCAGATTCCAGATTCAACTTGCATTTCTTCTCTCTGACTGGACATTTCATTCTTAGTTGTTTTCGGTTTTGGTTTGTTTGTTTGGGGGAATTTTTTACTTATTTTTTATTTTTTGTATTTGCCACTCTTTTTTTTTTATTACAAAGTTTATTTTTACATCATTTTGCACATTTTTTTTTTTCCATCTCGATTGTAATCCCCGCGGGTTTCCCATCACCAAATCACCCCTGTGCCACCACCATAGTCCCATGCATTTCCCTCCCTTCTCCCCCCCCCCCTTTTTGATCCCATTCCCCACTCCACCCCCACAGAATGTCTCTGGTATATGGTTGTTCATTATTCTTGTTATTTTCTCACCTGGTCCATTATACTCCTGCTGTGAGTGAAACCATCCGGTATTTTTCTTTCTCTTTCTGGCTTATCTCACTAAGCATGATCTTTTCCAGCTCCATCCAAGTTGCTGCAAAAGACATGTGTTTCTCTTTTTTGGTTGCTGAGTAATATTCCATTGTATATATGTACCACATCTTTCTAATCCAGTCATCTACTTTTGGGCATTTGGGCTGCTTCCATGTTTTTCCAATTGTAAATAAAGCAGCAATAAACATGGGGGTACAAGTATCTTTTTCAATCAGTGTTTTTGTGTCTTTTGGGTAGATACCTAGGAGTGGGATTGCTGGGTCGTAGGGAAGCTCCATGTTTAGCAGTTTGAGGAACCTCCAAACAGTTTTCCATAGTGGTTGTACTAGTTTGCATTCCCACCAGCAATGCAGGAGAGTTCCTTTTTCTCCACATCCTCGCCAACAATTGTTGTTGCTAGTTGTTTGAAGATGTGCCATTCTCACTGGGGTGAGGTGGTATCTCATTGTGGTTTTAATTCCCTTTACTATTTTTTTAAATAGTTGTCTTATGTTTATTGAAGTAACAGTGGTTTACAACATTGTGTATGAATTGGGGGTATTGGGTTACAGGTCTTTGTTATGTGTTATAACACCACGCCCATCACCAAAACCCCCAGGTCCTCCAGTTTTTCCTTTCTTGTTTAAACTCTCCAAGTGATGCAAATGAACAGCCAGAGTTGAGAATGGTTGTGTAAGATCTTCCTTTATAACAGACACCTTGCCTCTCTGCCCACATGCCCTTTGTTATGATAGATTGTTTCCTTAATCAGGTTCTCTTCTTCCTCATATTTGGGTCCTGTTTATGTACTGACCTCACTGACCTTGGGGCCATGTACAACTCATTGGAGGTAATAATTACTTCTGCAACAACCGACCTTGGCAGGCTTTCCCCAAGCCTTGACTCTGTTTTTCACTCTTTTACAAAATGTGTCCTTAATGTCACCCCCAACTGAGTTAGCCTGTGCTAGTGTTGCTGTTTTGATTGCAGAGACTCTCAGGAATCAAGCTAAATCTCCCACAGGATCTGGACTATGTGTTCCTCCACAAACCAGTCACAGGAAATCTGGGTGGAGTGTACATTATTTTTTTGGAGGGACATCCATGAAGGCTATCCTTTAAAAGTGTATAATTCAGTGGCTTTTAGTATATTCACAAAACTATGCCACTATCATCATTACCTAATTCCAGAACATATTTGTCATTTCAAAAAGAAACCTCCTACTCATTGATAGGCACTATTACTGCTGTTCCCCCTCCCCACTGACAACGAATCAATTTCTGTCTTGCTGGACCTATCTTTTCTGGACATTGCCTAGATACCGATTCTGCACTAACCACAAATGGTACTTTGTGGCTGTTTTTCTCACATTGCCTGTCTTCAAGATTCACACGGTTGTAGCACTTTTCGATTGTAGCACTTTTCGGTACTTCATCCTTTTTGTGGCTGATTAAGTTTCCATTGTGTGGGTATAGCACATTATGTAAACATCATTGATGGACACATTGAGGTGTGCAGATTAGGCCATTGTGAGTAATGCTGCTGTGGACAAGTGCATGTACAAGTTTCTGTGAATTTCTGTTGGGTATATAGTTAAGAGTGGAATTGGTGGGTCACGTGGTAACTCTATGTTTAGCTTTTTGAGGAACTTCTGCAATGTTTGTTTCTCAATGTTATTTTTTTTTTAACCTGAATACAGCTTTGCTTCTTGGGGTGGGGGTGGGGGGAGTTGTTTACAGGCATTTTTTTTTCTTTTTCTGCTTTAGCTTTTCTTCTCTAACATGATCTATATTTTACTATCTAGTTTATTCTCTATTTACTGAACTCTAGAGTAGGATTTCTGTGTTCCAATCTACCTTCAGAGCCTATAAATGGGTCTCGCACACAGTAGTACTCACTAAATATTTCCTGAGTGTAGTTTAACCCGTGTGTAATGTTTTAAATTTTGTAATAATTCTCACTTAAAAAAATTGATGTGGGTCCATGCTGACAATTTTTGGGTCAATTATATTCATTTTGTGGCTCTTTTGTCGTTTTCAAATCAGCAGTATTCTATGAATGTTTTTCCATTTAGGGGGGACTTTGACCATTTTGTCTGTTATCTGTTAAAACATTTTATGTGCTCTAAGAATGGGGCCTTTGTACAGGCACTTCCCATCATTTACCTTCATCGATTCAAAACGTGGAGAAATCTAAAATATAGAGCTCCTGTGTGGCAAGGTTGCAAGGATGTGGGGTCTCTGTCTCCCGGGTTCCTAGGAGACTATCCCTCCAGCTCTATCTCTGGCCACCTGCCAGTCTGTTCCCCAGCACAAGCAGACTTCTAGTTCTAAGAATAAGACCACTAGGCACTTCCATCTGAGCACAGTGCGGGGGGGAGTGGAGGGGTCTAACTGCAGACACATGGTTGCTTTTCGTGGATACCAACAAACCTCCTCTTGCGGCTAGATGCAGACAAACCTGCAAACTCCAGGCCTGACCCTATTCAATGCAAAAACTTAAGGGCTCTCGCATGCTGGGACTGGTTGCGCTGACCTCTGACCTTCCCTCCAGGTTCTCCAGTTACCCCGCAGGCCTACCAGCCTCCTTGCTGCGCGGGAGTTGGGTGGGGGCAGTCTGAGCCTGCGCGTGCCTTCTCGCATGCGCAGTGGCCGCTCGGGCCCAGCTCCTACCTCGGGCATCCTGAGGGGTGCGCGCACACGCACGCGCACGGCTTCGCCTGCGCGCGCACAGAGCCTCCGGAGGC